GTATGACTTTTCTCTGTTCCGAGAACCAAGGAGTGGTGATATTTGTTGTTAGAAACGAATAATGGACTTGCGATTGGAGTTTAAAAAGCAGAAACAGTGATACCAATAAACGCATTTGATTTGACTTTCAGTTTTGTAGAACTTCTTCTTCCCAATTGTTTCCGTTCTTAAAGTCAAAATCAATTCCAAAAAGGCTGTAAGCTTGTTTTAAATTGTTAGTTCAATGCTAATCTGCTGTCAGTCAAAGCAGGGCATTTTTCGAGACATTCGAGCCTTTTTTGCTTTATTTAAAAATTATTTTTGTCATTTCGTATCCGACGGCAGGCAGGTTTAATTCTTTTGTTCTGTTCGTTCTTTTTTATACTCATGGAGGTTTTTCTTTACTACTATTGGTTATTGCATGTAGCATTAAACTTTACATTTCAGAGCAACCATGCTTCTGAGTCTAACTCCGCCAGACCAAAAGCTCATCAAGTTTGAGAAAAATGGACACTTTAGTAAGTTTAAATTTTTGATAAGCGTTTGATAACTAAAAACTAACTGGCTGTGAAAACTAGATTATGAGATAACTGAATAAACAAAATTTTGCTTGGCAATCGTTGCACAAGTCTAGCTGTAATCTAATAGTAAAAAACTTGAAGAAACAACCATTTTATAAAAAAAACTAAAATCTTTATACTCCAGATACTTGGGTGTTTGTTACTCATGGTTCACAGCTACCGGCTCAGGCAGTTCGGCTTATGGGGCGTCCGCTCAACCGTGACCCATCGGCGAGAGAAGCTTATGTCGGCTGGTGGTGAGTAGAAAGACCTTTTTTGCTCTGAAAAAATAGTTCCAAGGGTTTCCCCAGATAAAGAATAACTGTTTTAGTGACAAATAAAATTTCAGGTATGCTAACGGTGGTAGAGAGTCCACATTTGGTCACGTCAAAAGATGTGACAACGGTCAAATGGTAGCTTGGTTTCCATGGGGTGACCGGGAATGGTACAGTGACTCCACTGGGGAGTTCCGGGTTCTAGTCAACCAAACGAACGAAACGTATCTGTGGGTGCATCCTGGAGAGGTGCGATCCAATCCCGGCTATGATCTGTGCGTGGCTGATGGCTACTGCCCGGCCATTGTCATGATTTCAGGTTTGCGTTCAAATGGGCCAGACAAATATTCACGTTCACATTTCAGGTGAAGAATGGGCGGGCAAAGCTTCTTTAGATAGGAGAATGGCATGGACGGGTGCTGGGGGCAAAGAGTATTTCCATACTGGATATGCTTTCGACAACTGTTATGTACTTGTGCGCAAGGATTATTGAATGCGATTAAATTGAAAAGTATTTTTGCGTTTCACTAGTTTTGACCCATATCTTTACTCAAACATTTCATTTTAGTAACTTTTGATGTTTTTGAATTGATGAGTTAGCCCACGAAATGTTCTTAGAGAATTTCTGAGATTTTGTCAATAATGAATAAAGAGATACCTGCAGCTAATCAAAACTGTTCGCTTGACATTTTCATACTTGAATTGTGCATAAACTTTATGATAACTGCTAATACAGATGAAACGCTTCTCTGATGGGATAGCTTTTGCAACGGTCTGACACTGACACAATAGCACAGAAGCTTCTTAAACTTTGTTCTAACAGACAAACTATGATATTTATTTGTTAAAAATATGCATAACTAAAAGTTGCTTACACTAAAATATTGGACGGTTAATCAGTAAAATTTAATCTTACCTGGTGACCAAAAAAAACTTCTAAAACTTTATGTTTTAAAAAGATAATTTCTTGTGTAACCATAAAATCATAGACTTAGACTAAAGAGACTAAAGTTTTAGACTAAAGAGCGCTTATTTTGATAATAAGAAGAATGATTGATGCCAAATTTACTTTTTTATTTTTATTTTCTAGCTTCTTAACAGATTTATTTAACTTTTCATAAATTTTATTTAGTATTTCCCAATGCCTATCATATTTACTACAAAAAGCAAGTGAAACGATTAGAAAGCATGGTACTTGTAGGTTATCCCTATATACGATTTGTTTGGGCCTCAATTAAGGCTAAGGAGTATTTTTGGGTTTAATCTATTGCATCTTCTGAAGCATCTTTTAAACTATGCTTTAGCATGGCAACATTCTTGTAACTTTATCTCGATCTAGTTCCTCACAAGGGAATGGTCCAAATTTAAGATGAAGGATTGGATTGGCATAGTGATAGAAATGGAACATCACCGAATTGTGTAGTGGTAAATGTACGCGCTCTGAAGCTTCCTTTTGCCTTTTGTCCACGGGTTCGGATCCACTTTGCGAAAAGCTTTTTGCTTTCTTTTGTAAAACATTTTTAAATACTTTTTATGGACTTCAAATGTACATTGACAATTATTTTACGTATAGAACACTCTAAAGCAATGGTTTAACAACTCGATCCATCCATTCCGATACATTTGTTCCTTTCTGTGCTTTTTCCACTAGAGCAAATAAATATCTTTTGTAAGTTGTTAAGAAAAAACCAAACGATTGGAAGAATTGGAAACGATACTATGAGCATTACAAATAAAAGATTTCTAAAAGGGAACGAGACAAAAAATTAGGGACTACGAAAGGAATTGGTTGAAAGAGCGGGGAATGATGTGAAACGACTTTAACAAATTTTGAAGAGGGTGATGAAGTCTTTGAAGTGGCGGTAGTTGGTTGAGACTGCGACACACAATCAACGATTACTCCTCGGTCACCGTCACGAGGGACCACTTTTACGTATAGAACACTCTAAAGCAATGGTTTGACAACTCAATCCATCCATTCCGATACATTTGTTCCTTTCTGTGCTTTTTCCACTAGAGCAAGTAAATATCTTTTGTAAGTAATTTGTTTCAATGTTTTTAAGAAAAAATAAAATTTATAGCAAAGAATAATTTCGCAATCATAATGAAACGATTCAAAGAAATGAAAAAAAAACAATAGAATTTTTCGCACTTTTTAGCACACTTGATAAAGGCAATAGAATTACAATTAGCTACTTGACAATTTGATTTTAAACAATAATAAATGAGAGTGTCAAAAGCAGGAGGGCGAACAGGAGATAACGGAGTATCAAGCGTACAAACGGAAATCAATCAAACGGTCTGCACCGAATTGATCGTAAACAAGTAAGAGAAAAATGAAAAGATTATTACGTGTAGAAGTGAATATTGTTGATAATAAAATAGGAATGGATTTCACAAACAGTCGAAAGAAATAGACGTCGAGTGACTGCACTTCTGACATAGTTCCCGGCGGAATATTGTCAATTAGAAATTAGACCTGCTTACTGGGTCGGGCAAAATTTTAAGACAGTCTGCTTCGCTCTTCGATTTTTTACTACCCAAAGCTCCGTCAAGCATGAAACCCAGTTCCCCCGCAAGCCCTTATTCTAAACTTCATTTTGGTACTAAACATGGATAGGTTCTGGTTGGCCATTCTTTAGATGTCGATCATTTTAGATAAAAATTCTTCTAGCCTCGTTAAGCTTATCGAGTCCGGCGAAAGATTGATCAAAAGAATGGCCAACTAGAACCTATCCATGTTTTCTAGATGCATATGCCATCGAAAAAGAAATTGACCTACGAAAACTGAGGAGTGCATTCATCTGTTCATATGTATGAAAAAAAAGAATAATATTTGGTTCATTGAAGAGTTGTCGATTAGCTTTCAAAAAAGAAAAGGAAACTAGGGGGCACGCGGAGTTGAACCATGCCCCCCTCGAACTGCAGCCGAATGCTCTACCACTGAGCTATACCGCCGGGTGTTTGTTAAGAATTAGGGTCTTGAAAGAATTAGGGTCTTGAAAGTCGATAAGAATTAGGGTCTTGAAACTGGCTGATGTAATCCCCGAACGGTTCCTTTGCACAAGAAGTCCCAAAAAAGCTGAACGAGAATTGCATCAGCCACTCTCTCAAACGGATGACACCTTCAAAATCCCCTTCTTTCATCAAACAAACACCCGGGGGTATAGCTCAGTGGCAGAGCATTCGGCTGCAGTCCGAGAGGTCCATGGTTCAACTCCGTGTGCCCCCTAATCTTTTATTTTTCTGAGATTTTCAGGCCTTGTCATAGGCTTTTGGGCTTTGGAAAGACGATCCATACGTATCTAGAGTGATTTTAAGCTAAAATCTTTTTTTTTTCAGATTTGCGATCAGAACATTTTTTTGAGTCGAATATCACACCTCAAAATTCACCAGAAAACGGTGTTTCGGATAAGGAGATGTCAATGATTATTGACTTTCTAGAGTTGTTAAAGCTGCTAAGTGCTTAAATTAAGAATTTGAAAAGTTGTCCATGAATTGCAAATGACGGATTATCCTCATCTAACACGATCGGGTCAGCAAAAAACTTTGAGATGAGAAATATTAGAAATAATCCAACGAGAAGTACCATCGTTTTTCCACTACTAAAACTGTTTGTACAAAGTTTTTGCAAAAAAAGTCCTTAGCTAGTAGGCAAAGGATTTACACTTATATCTTACCTCTTTCAAGACACAGCAGAAACTGAAGAAAAGAGAAGAAACTTGGGAAAAGCAACGGAGAATGCATGTCCTTTGCTTGCTGATATACTTTTCGATCAAAAACTCAAAAGCAAAAAAAGTACCAAGAAAAACTCGGCCCTATACAAAGAGAAGATTACACGTTTGCACTTCTTCTATAATCAAATGTCCCAGAAAGTGAGCTGGGTTTTGTAACTGAACGCACTACAACTACAGCACCGCACAATGGCTCCATTGTGCTAACTAGCCCCGATATGATTATTGACTTTCTAGAGTTATGCTTAATTTAAGAATTTGAAGTCCTGTTATGGCATTAAGTAGTTTAGGTTAGGGTTTCAATAGGATTTGTTTCTGTATTGTGATTGATCGCTTGGATTGATTGAATAAACCAGTATATTCTGTTTTCTTTTCTTTTAAACCCAAAAAAATTAACAGCATGATAGATTAAACAATAAATATGCTTGTCGTTAACATGTTCACGTAGATCAATCGTCATCTAAAATTTACAAAAATCTATAAGCACTTTTGCTGACCGCTTGCCTATGTATTTTGTTAAAAGTTTGCCTTGATCATCATCTTCGAAACCGGTCGTTTTCTTCTCTTCTTTCGCCCAATTCTCTTTGTGAAAGACCAGTCCTTCCAAACAATATTTAAACTGATTAGCGAATTTGAACTCACTGTGCATCACATTATCGTAGGTAAAAACATCACTGGACAATTTAGCTATTAGCACCAAGCTCGAGTCGGGATCCAAATCGAAAATCTAAAAATTAAATCTATGAGTTGACAAAAATCAAGTAGTTTACCTTGCAAATATTAACTTTTTCTTCAAACTCGAGCTCCTTCTCTAGAAAATAGGCAATCATTTGGGGTATAAAGTTTAGAGTCGTTGTTAACTAAAGCATCATGTAAAATATTGAAGTTATGCATTTATACCTTTTGAAGATCTTCCTGCTCGTCAAATGTAAGTTCTCGGAGCTTGAGCCAAAAATAAAGCACGGCGTCACTTTGAGAGCTAAAAATGTGTTAAAATCACATCCACCACAAAACCAACCTTTTACCAGCTGAAAAAAGACGTTTCGCTTTCTCAGGAGCATTCGGATCGATTTCCCAATAAAAGCCATCAAATTCATGGACACCCTAAAGAAAATAATGACACTTTGTTATCGCTCTAACCTTTAAAACCTAGGTTGTCAAAATTATTGCGAAATCATACCGGAATTATTGTTTCCATCCAAAAGCTTTGATCATCATGCCGTTCCATATCCAGAAGCTGTAGCAAAGTCGAATACTGAAAACAATACTATGCACCCAATCAAACATTCTGCACCCAATTTTCCCTCCATTTGCAACCAACAGTCTGCGCAATAATAAATTGATAGCTTATAAGAAAAAGCCATATAAATCAATGAGTCATAGAAAAAAAGAGAGAAAAACAATTGCACTTCCTTTATATACGGTTCCCCATAAACATTAACTTTTTTTTGTAGATTGAATATTCTCAAACAAAAGTCTTTATAAGCATGGGTTACTACCGTTCTTTTCTTATTCTGCACATCCTTCTTCTATCATGTTTTCACGATCTTTTTTCTTTATGTTAACTAGCTTTTTGCTCATCCCTTCTATACGAGCTTTTTTTAGAAGGGCTGTTTATAACGATTACGAACCGAGCGGAAATCATGGAAAGCTTTAAGAAAGAGCAACTGAATGTAAGACTTTGTAAGACGCTTTACTATAATTGATTTTAAATGTTGTGGTTTGTGATTTCCAGTAGATTTTTCCTGCAAGTTTTTCTTTAGCACATGCCAACCTCGTCTGTCAGCTTCCTTGAAGAACTTCCCGACGTCGTCTTCTATGCGGTGATGGAGAAACTTCCTGGACGGATCATCGAAAAGTTAGCAGCCTTCCTATTCTAACTTTAATCTTTGCTTTAGTACTGTTCGACAACTCTCAAGGGATTTTTATAGAAAGGTCGAGCTGCGCAGAGCAAGACTTCCTCGTGTTTATATCAAGGTGCTTGATGTTGATGGGAACACGGTAAGGTATTGTGGTGCTAGTTATAATAACAGGTTTTAGTTTCGCTATAGCAGGCCTAGCGATCAAGCAATGAACCACTATGATTATGAAGAAACCATCGACCCAGCTAACTTAATTCAACGTTTGGAGTATTTGAAAGAGCGTGCAACTTTCAAGACCCTCCGTTTGGTTAGTTTTCCCTAATATTTTATGGTACTTAAAATCTTCTTTTAGAACGATGTTAATTGGGACATGTTTGCAAATTGCAAGTTCGAATGCGAAGAATTCTTTTGCTGTGTGCGTGAAACGGCTCTTTCGCCGGAAAGATTCATGGATATTTTTCGCAGTATAAGACCAACACGCAAGCTAGATATTTATGTAAGTTTGTATTAAACGAATCAAAATTAGGCTGATTAAGGCGACTGGGAGCGACAAAATTTTTCCTGTTACGAGTGACTTTTTCACCAATAATTATGCGATTGGATTACAAGAAGTTCGGTTGGAGGGTGACGGAGATGCCATGGTTTATCCATTAAATGACACGGTTTGTTTTGATTTAACTGTCAATGAACAGTTTTTGTTGCGACTTAATATTTATTGTTTAGATCTTGGATTCAGCTCCTTCGATTTTTTGCGGTCATTTTCAAACAAGTTGCACTCTTAATGGGATTCAAATGCTCCGAGACTGGTACACTTCACAGCGTCAAATTAATCTAATTATACTTCGAGTAGCTGGTGGGAAAGCGCAACGTCAAAATGTGAGCTTTTTTAACTTTCTTATTTTGCTGAAAATAATTCGGATGCAGTGTTTAAAAACCCGAAAGATTGACTTAACTATTTTGGTCTAAATAGCCTAGATAATCATTGAAAAGCAACTCAAATCAACGGTAGTTTTCCCGATAAAATTGCTCAGTTTTTAGTTCTGGCACAACTTCGCTGGATTGCTAGTTGTTAAAAGGCTGCTCTACAAGAATTGCAAGGTTGCTCAGCCCGCTTTGGAAAGAGCAAATGGAGACGTCATTAGGCTGGGTTTTTGGAGTAAGGGAATAGGCCATAATGGGTATGTTTTAGCAAGGTTTTTTTCTAACGTATGAAACGCGTTCAATGAAACTATCTATTACAAAATTGTTTTAGTATCTCCATCGTTCGACTAGTGCCCGGCCCGGAAGCTGGCTTATATAGGGACTATGATGACGTAGGATAATGCACAATATTTATTTCCTATTTTGAATTGAAAGCTGTATTTTGTTCTCTATGAATTTGTATATGAAAAATGTATTTTAAAGCTGAAGTTTAGATGTTGTAAATTTTGTCGATTGTGATTGCTATTTCTTGGGGAGTACATAGTACTACTAATGTCACAATTGAAAACTCGTCTCACACTATAAATAAATCGTTCATGATTTGGTTGTTCTTGATGCTTTGTTTTAATCCGCACTTTTTATTTCAATTTTTTAATAAAAAGTAATGAGTTTATAAAAGTCGTATCAGGTTATGCCACCCGTTAATATTTAAACCGACTTTGGACTAACTAAAATCTAATCTACCTCCCCTGCCACGCGGGCGACCCGGGTTCGTTTCCTGGCCTGCGTGTTGCGATTTGAGTGTACTTTCTGTGTAATTCCTAAGCTTTCAGAACAAAACCAAGTTTTTAGCAGAATACAATTTATGACACAAGCTAACTGGCAAAAATCTAGCGGAAACTTTCTCGCAAAAATCTGAAGAAAGACGAAAAATGCAAAAATATTGCCGGAAAACCGGGTGCGACTACGGGAGCTAATCCACAGATTAGCTTATATTCAATAGCTTTTCGATGGCAGTCATCACAGGTCCACAAAACCTGAAGCCAGGCCTTAACCTGACTTCTGACCTTGCCTAGCCGGCTTAGGGCCCCGTTGAAAAATTCCAAACGTCTTCTAAAACGTAATCTTGTCTCGTTTATGTGTAAGCTTACTGTTCTTTTTGTGGTAATCAAATCTTTACTTTCTCCGGAAAAACGACTGGCTTTGATATTATAAAATAACTCCAAGAGAAGCGGTAGAAGGAGGAGAAATGGTTTGAAGGAATTATGACAATTTTGTCGGCAATCTACGAATCTATTATATTTGAAAGAACAGTGGCTGTCCGTCCGTCTGTACGGGCTCTTTCTGAGCCGTCTTAGGGACAAAAAAAACACTAAAGCCACGACAAAGCTGGGAGTCGACCCCGGGTCGCGTGGACCGTAGCCAAGCGCGCTCCCAACTGCGCTACCTGTGATGACTGCCATCGAAAAGCTATTGAATGCGAAAAGCTAAACTGTGGATCAGCTACCGTAGTCGGACCTGGTTTTCCGGCAATATTTTTGTACTTTTTCGCCCCTCCTCTTCTTCAGAATTTGTTAGAAAGTTTCCTCTAGATTTTTGCCGATAAACTTTGTCTATAAAGAAATAATGAGTAAATCGTTTGATTGTGCTTGTTGATTAGAAATGCGTGCTTAGATGCTTTGTGACTTTTGCAAACAATGGATTATCAATCCGCGCATTGATGGATTCAAAATAATCGGAAAAGCCTTGGTTTCGATCAACAAACGAGTAAGCTCTGCCGTATCGCCCTTTCCGGCTATAGATATTCATTATTTATTATTATTACATATTCAGATTATATGTACATTTATTCTCATTTTCATTGATTCCTCGTGCATTTGGCATAAACGAAAACTCGATTTGCTTTCTTTTTCCACGAGGTCAACAAGAAGGGATGACGTGTCCTGAAATTGCTCAACTCTTTGAAGATCGTAACCTAGGGAAATCACTTTGAATTTGACGAGCTTCCATTCTCTCCGTATTCCCACTGGGAGCGATAATTGTCGAAATAGATAGCCTTTGCTCTCTCCTCCAAATGAATCAGAGTCGTCGTCTTGGCGACTCGACTTTTCTCGTTCTTCACCACGATCCAATAGATCAGCCACGGCGCGATCATCGTGAAATAGGCTGGACCCTAAAGTATCAATGAGTGATTACAGATTCGGCAATTTGCTTTTTGAGCTTTGTATGTTTTTCATCACCAACATCTGAGTCTACTTGATTGAACTTGGACCTTATATCCTGGGCTGGGATGAACGATCGTTTTACTACCCACGATCTACTTGTAGTTTGAGCCAAAATCTTGATCTCTTAGTAATGAATTCGGAAACTCATCGGCATCGAAAATCGCCATCAATAACATCAAGAAAAACAATGCAAAATGGCTAGAATGGGCTAGAGGCTATCATGACCATAAAAAATTGCCGGGTGACCATAAAAAAATTTTTTAAGGCAACTAACTGTTTTTATATTTTAATATTACTAATTTTATTATAAAAAGAATAAAAATCACCCCGCTAGAGTGATTTGATGGGTTTACAAATTTTTGGAGACGTTGCAAGGCTTGGAGAGAAGCAAGATCTCATCAAGCATCAGGCACGAATGAGGTTCGAATGCTGTCATGTTCGATCCATTTGTTGGCCATTCAATCTCTCTTGTCTTGTTTTTGCAAGCTCGGAAGTTCTCCACAAGTGAGCATCTTCGTTTCTCCAATTGAGCGAATTCAACAATAACAAATGCTGGCTTTTCGATTAGTTCTTCTTCCGCCTCCATTTTGTTTAGAAACCCTAAAAATAGATTTTATGATGAGAAAAAGAAAACAGAAATATAAATCAGAAGTCTAGAGAAAACAAAAAAGAAAAAATAGTGCGTGACTTTTGTTTTACTTTCGCACTTACCTTGTAGATGAATTACGCGAGCCTTGCAACGTCTCCAAAAATTTGTAAACCCACCAAATCACTCTAGCCGGGTAATTTTTATTCTTTTATAATAAAATTAGCAATATTAAAATATAAAAACAGGGGGACCTAGTCAAAATAGCGCCATTCAAAACAAAACATGATTCTGATAATGAAAATAATTCGCCGGTTTGTCAAAAAATGCGCAAGGCACATCCGCGCGAAAATGCGATCGCCGTTAAATTTGCTCAAGGTAAGCCAAATTTGCCCGTTTTCCGTTTCTTGTTGATTTGAGGCATTTCTCTACCTGTAAAATACAAATCATTAGTTGGAAACAAAATTATGTAAACAATCAAAAAAAGAGCAAAAGTTTTGATCAGAAGTGAAGAAAATGAAAACACATTTGTTTGTTTTATAATTTTGTTTTTTGTAATGGTTACGGTAGTTTACCCACGCTTTAGCGCGCAGAAAGTTGAAAA